ATGTTCTACTGGTTCCTCCTTGTTCTCGTTGCATACCATGACGGCACTCTTCTGAGCGTTGGCAGACAATCTCCACTTATCAGTAAACTTCTTCGCCACGCCAATTTGCATTTGTTGCAGTCCCTCAGGGGTGTCCGACATACCGACAAAATCATCCGTAACCAGCATTCATTCCTGACACCGACGTTTCCGTGTCCCCTACTTTTCCTCCCTTCCGGACATCGTTGATGAACACCTGGAACAATATTGGGGACAGCGTGCATGTTTGGAAATGTTAGCACATAGTCTTAACCAGTATGAATCAATGTTCAGTAGCACTGCTCGTGTATATCGTAGATCTCGTATGTGTCGGTTCGAAAGTCGGTTCGAATGTAACGTATAAATATGTGTATGCGGAGGAATTACTCTCGCAGGATTCTCTGCGTGGTGCTTGGTAGCCGAGTAGCTCACTCTCTCGTGTGATCCTTCCGGGTTATGTTGGCCACCGAAATAAATAAATAAATAAAACGCCTCCAAGATGGGCTCATAGTCTAGATCCAAGTTCACACCTCCTGGCGCAAGTACCCCAGTCTTGTGCCGGGCGCTCTGCTCAGTAACACCCAGACGTCCCCCGACCGCCCAATTTATCATCTCCGAAGTCCCGCGGTACAGGCTACTTGCCTCCTGGGAGGTCATTTTCACCACAAATAAGTTCAGGAACGACTTGCATAGCTTAAATGAGATCTTACTCACACGCCGGGATGGAGCGTACACCAACGCCCAGCTTCTCATGTACGCTCCACCATGGGTTGCTACCCCACTTACGCTCCCGAGTAGACCTATCTGCCGGAAGTTTGGCCAACAATTCCTTACTGCTTTATCTCGCCTCTCTCCAATCGAAAACAATGCATTGTGCGTAAGGCACATCTAGCTCCGCAGTTTTGGCGTGGTTGGTCTGGNCTTACGCTCCCCGAGTAGACCTATCTGCCGGAAGTTTGGCCAACAATTCCTTACTGCTTTTGCTCGCCTCTCTCCAATCGAAAACAATGCATTGTGCGTAAGGCACATCTAGCTCCGCAGTTTTGGCGTGGTTGGTCTGGTCGTTCAGCTTGNCTCATGTACGCTCCACCATGGGTTGCTACCCCACTTACGCTCCCGAGTAGACCTATCTGCCGAAAGTTTGGCCAACAATTCCTTACTGCTTTATACTCGCCTCTCTCCAATCGAAAACAATGCATTGTGCGTGCCGCACATCTAGCTCCGCAGTTTTTGCGTGGTTGGTCTGGTCGTTCAGCTTGCTCGACGTGAGTCATAAGCTTTGCTTTGATGGCTCTTATGTTTTATTGATCCACTTCAAACAACGAACACCCCCCCCCCCCTTCACCGTCCGATCCATTTTGGATCTCACGCCGGAGAGTTTTGGGGTGTCTTACCTCTAGTCTAAGTCCTTTACTGCCCAATGGGGGAGTTCAGTATTTTTTTAATGCTGTACCAATAATAGGCATTAACCTTAGGTAAGCTTGTGCTTACTTTGGACTGTACCCTCCTCATCCTCTGGGGGAGGTAAAGAGGGGGGGGGGCGCATGGCCTCTATTTTTCAGGGGGGGTTCGGGTACTGGTTGGGGGTCGGGTCTATGTGTACTGCATTCTCAAATGCAAATCACCTGTGAGGTTTTAGTATGTGTCTTTCCTCACTCCAAGCGTCTATGTGTCCAGCACTATCCAACATTACTCAACTGGTGAGGTTTCAGTATGTCACTATCCCCACTCTGCGCGTCTATGTGTCTGGCAAGCTCGAAAGCCAATGCATCTGTGAGGTTTCAGTATGCAGCTATCCTCACTCAGCACGTCGATTTGTCCGGCAATCTCCATCACAAATCACCTGTGAGGTTCAGCTTGTGTCTATCCTCACTCAACGCGTCTATGTGTCGGGCACTCCAACATCACTCAACCCGTGGGATTTCAGTATGCAGCTGTCCGCACTCAACTCGTCCATGTGTCTGGCAATCTCAAACCTCACTCAACCCTCGGGGTTTCAGCATACAGCTATAATCACTCAACACGTCTATGTGTCCGGCAATCTCCTACATCATTCAACCCGTGAGGTTTCCGTAAGCTATCCTCACTCCACGCATCCATGCGTCACGCGTCTTTGGTAGCGCATACTATGGGGGCTATATTTGTGGTGGCGTGTTTTACAGCGCTTTGCCAACAGCGCCAACCCACTCAAGTCTAGAATGGGGGGGGGCGTTATCATGTAGCAGCCTTGGCGGCTATTTTATTTAGCCCGTTCACCATGCGTCCTCGAGAGGACGGGGGAGCAGGAGTGTGTGGCCGGGGGTCGTTTAATGCTTTCGTTCTCAGAGGGAACCCCTCTTTTCTCTCGAGTGTAAAAACAACGCGATCAATATTTGTTTCGAATGTGGTGAATTAGTCGTGAGCCACATGTAATTATTGAGTAACACGCGAGTGCTACTAACGAACACAGCTGCGCTGTGCTTGGCCATGGCTAGGGGGGGGTGCATCTACAACTGACTCCGACCGACAGCAGCATCATCACATGGATCACATCCATCCCTCCCCAAACCAAAAGCGTGATACCTCCTTCCTTCCCCCCCACCCCCATCAAGCCAGCCTGCCTGCTCCTCCTCGTACTGCTGTGCCCCCGCAACCCCACCCACGCACGAGATTTACGCCATACCCCAACCGCCGTACTCATCTCCTTCGCGGACCCCCCTTAATCACTGCCAAAAGGCCCTCCGAGGCATGGCATTTTTCAGACAAGAAATACATACAAGAAAAAGAGACACAAATAAACACACACAAACGCACGCACGCTCACACATACATATGGTTCGGTGGGGAGAACATTACAGCCGTTAAACTACCACAAGATTACGAGAGACAACAAAGCAAAAGAGAAGACCGCCGCGTGGCCAACTCGTGCAAGCAAGCGCAAGCAAACAAGCTGTTGCTGCATTGAAGCTGCTCGAAACACCGCCGCCACCCGCTGGCGCCTCTGCTCGGCAAATAAACCTTGGGGCGGTGATGGGGGTCGACTTTAATACCCACATGATAAAAGAGATCGCTTGAAACATGCCTTTTCCGCCCATCCATACCGACAAAAAAAAAAAAAGACTGCTATTGCTACCACAGAGCTTCCAAAGACCTGCTGGAAGATTTACAAAGGAGAGGCTCGCTCCGCCCAGACGACGCGCCCAATGGATGGACAAAAGGACAAGCTAGGTACGGGCGAGGCCGATATATTATATTTTTACCGATTGGCCCGAGGACGACCCTAAAGGTTTAGAACAACACGGACGGCCGCCTCAGGGCACTCCCTCCGCTACTACAACGGCCACCTCGTGCCAGCACCCGTTTCGTTGCCATCGGCGTACCTTGCCAGTCTCCCGTGCAGAGGCCAACGGCAGCCAAGGATGGATGTACCCACG